AGAAAACATTAGTGTTTAGCACTGATCTTCTACTAATAAAGAAGCCAACGCTGTAATACTTTCCCGCAGCCGTTTACTTTGTTTAACAGTTCTGTTTAATAATTTTATTGCAGAAACAGTAAACTAATAAAATGATGATAATTTAAAAAAAAAGCCAAATACCAGTCGGTATATCGGCCAAACACTAATTATTGTTTTCCTTTTATTGCTTATCGATGATTTCAAAGATAATAGAGATTAACTCAAAGACACACATTTTGAATTTGTGAGGTCTGTAAGTCAAGTCACATTTATTTCTATAGCGCTTTATACAAAGTGTTTCAAAGCAGCTTCACATTAGTAAACAGGAGATTGACAGTGATAATGGTGTAAAACTAATTCAATTTCAGCTGCAACGTAGCTCTATAGAAGACAATATTGTCATTATTCAGATCAATTCAATGTTGATTCAATTCAGTTCAATAACAGTGTCGATGCTGCAAAATGCTTTATCAGTTATGAAACGATTTCGATTTTAGAAGACAATAGTGTCATTATTCAGTTCAAGTTTTGTTCTCATCTGACAGTGATAAAGCAGTTGAATCGATAAAATTACTGAATATTAATTGTAGCTTTGTAGTACAATTTTTGTAGGCCTGTAGATGAATTACAAATTATGAGAATAAAGTCGTAGTACTGTGAAATTAAAGTCATAATATTTTGATGATGATAATAAAATTACCGGAACAAAGTTTTAGCAATGATAGAATAAAGTCATAGCAAAATGAGATTAAGTCGTAATACTTTGAGAACAAAGTTGTGGATGTGAGAATGAGTTTTGATGATAAAGTTATGTATATATATATTTTTTTAGTAACAAGGATTCAAGTGTATGATGTTAATGTAGTGCCATGTAAAAATAATCACATTTTTGAGACTTTATTTTAATCTCAAATTGTTATGACTTCAATCTCACAATGCTATGGCTTTATTCTCATCATCTTAATTTTGTAACAATTTTTTGTTTATGTGGCACTAAAGTATCATCATACTGTATAAGTGTCCATATGGCGTTTGAGTAGTCGTTCAAAACATGGAAACACTGGATGAATATTCCATCCACAACCTCATATGATATGTTCATTCCTTCTGTGGTTTGGTGCTTTTAAACCACACTGAACTCTGGGAGGAAATCTGGGAGAACAGAAGTTGGCTTTGGTTTCCAGACGTGTGGTTTTGTGAACGGATTTGACCTGAGCGGTTTCCTTTACTAATATATCTCTGCTGTTGAATGTTTTACCAGCTCAGTGTGACCTGGGATGCAAACACGGCGAGTGTGTCGGCCCCAACAAATGCAAGTGCTTCCCCGGATACACCGGAAAGACGTGTAGTCAAGGTTTGTGCCAGTGGTATTATCTAGTGTTTGTTAATATTTTGAATTAGTGTGTTTTTTTGTTTTTTAAATTGTTAAATTTTTAGCAATTTTGTTGTGTGTTTTTGTCATTTTTATTTTTGGTTTATTTATTATTTGTTACATATATATGATTTATTCTATTTTTTTTTATTTGTATTCATCAGTTTTAATTATTTGTTGATTATTTAGTTTTAGTTATTTTATCACTTCAACTTAAAGTTTTTAAAAAGTATTTTTTTAAGTACCGTATTGGCCCGATTATAAGACGACCCCCCCTTTTTCCAGATGTACCTTTTGGAAAAAGGCTTTTAAAAAACAAATCTTGCCTTCAATTATTTTCATATTGCATATTTTTCCTATTTCAATTTTTGTTTTGAAACATCTCCATTGTCAGACATGGACTTATCAGTAATATTTTACAGTAAAAAGGGACTGACGTCCCTGTATCATGGCTGATATTACTATTGATTTATTCATCACATTGACAGCGGAAGGTCATTACAATGTGAGATTGCATGAGGTTTATAGATTTTAGCAAACGTACAGTAGTAGGTCATCCATGCATACAGTAAATTCCCAGACTGCACACAGTGTATATGCTATATACTGCAGAGATAATGATGTTCTGCTCATTAATGATCTCTCTCTGTCTCTGGGGTCAGATCTGAATGAGTGCGGTCTAAAGCCTCGGCCCTGTGAACATCGCTGTATGAACACCTTTGGTAGCTACATGTGCTACTGCTTAAACGGATACATGCTGATGCCTGATGGCTCCTGCACAAGTGAGTGACAGTGTTTCAATATATTCAGATGTTTAAATCAATAGTTCCGCCAAAAAGTATTTACTCCAAAAAACTCTACTCATTCTTATGTTTTCCTAAAAAAACACACAAAAAAAACACAACTCTAGTCAATGTGACCTGAGCTCCATATTCATCAAACAATAACTTTGTGTTTTCATTTTTGGATGAATTCTTCCTTTAATATGTTGTACTTTCTTTAAGAGTGAATTGTTATCAAAAACACTGTAAAAACTAAACTTTGAGGCAACCAGCCTCAGGACAATAAAGTTGTTCTGTGTTTTCAGCAGACATAATAAAAAAAAGTTCCATAAACTCAAAAGTAATTATAATTTATACTTGTACAAGTTCAATAAACTACAATTTTGAAGTAAATAGAGTATTAATATTGCATATTATTGATGTAAACATTTCTTCTTTTGGGAGACTTTTCTGCTAAACAATTTACGTTTTCTTTACGTGTATCAGTTAGTTTATATTTATTCGTTTATATCAATTGTGAGAAAAGCTTTTTTCCTCCACAAAATAAAAATAAAAACATCTAAATGCAACGTTAATCTCAAAATTGTGACGTTACAAATTTATTTCTCACAGTTTATATTTTTCATTTCTTAATAAAAAGTCACAATTGAATTGTTAGATATAACAAATGTTGTCATCTTAATAATTAAAGTTGGTCTGTGCTTTAAGCAAACATTGAAATAAGTTTCATTAACTTAGTAAGCCTAATTTATGCATGTAGATATAATAAAGTAAGTTCTTATAGTGGATCCAAGTTCAATAAGATAACATTCAGACGTTAAATGGGTATTAATATTGCATATTATTAATGCAAATCTGATGTAACTCCTCTAAATAGTTTGTTTGCTTAATTTGTGTATCAATTAGTTGCACAACTCAAAAGGTGATATTATTTCTATGCACCAAAACAAGTATATACAATTTATTGAATAAAAACGGATGAAATTAGTTTAGACACTAATCACCCGAATGATGACTGAAAAACATTAGCGCTAAAATGTCTAATTCTGATTAACAAGTATTTGCATGTGATATGTCCGCATGCTTTAACAAAAAACACATGTTTCAAGTGCAATGGATTATGGGTGATCAAAGCTGCCCATTAGTTTGGCATAACAAGTGTTTAATAATTTCAGATGCTCACACTAAATGACCTAAACGTTGACTTTATTTAACATTTTATGTAGGCTAATGTCAACTTTTGTACATTAGTTAATTCAATCAGCCTTTAAATCTGAGTTTGTCTTGTATTAAAGTGAAGGTTTGTGGATGTGTTTGACTGCAGACTCGAGGACGTGTTCTCTGGCTCACTGTCAGTACGGCTGTGAGGAGGTGCAGGGTGAGGTCCGCTGTCTCTGTCCGTCTCCTGGCCTGCAGCTGGGATCTGATGGGAAGACCTGTGTGGGTGAGAACAGCCCAATGACACCCGCTCTTTTTTTATTTGTTTGTTTTCTATGACTGCTCCAAAAATCTGCTTCATTTCTTTTTCAAGTACAAGTAAATTCCCAAATCAAGATAATTGAGAAGCAAAATTATATAAAAGGTTAAGTCTTGTTTTCTGAAAAAATGTATCAACATTAAGTGAGGTTATGCTAAAACAAGAAAAACCATCTGGTTTTCATTTGATTTAAATATATTTTTATGACCCTATTGGCAAATTTTTTTTAAGTTTATGCTTAAACAGAAAAGAAAAATAATGTTTTTTTTTCTCTCTGAATTAAGTTTAATTTTCTGATCCCATTGGCAGATATTTTTTCTTTAAAAACGTCTCGGGTTACTTATGTAACCATGGTTCCCTGAGTAGGGAACGAGACACTGCGTCCTCTAGGGGTCGCTATGGGGAACGCCTCGTCGTGACTTGTATCTGAAGCATACATTGAAAAAACACCAACTCGTTGGCCGGCGACAGCCATGACGTCACTACCGGTGCGACTACAGTATAAATCGGTGCCGGGAGCTACACATCATTCACTTCTTCGTCTGAAGCTTTAAAGCAAGAAGAAACATGGGGTCAGAAAAATAATCGTGTTTTCCCTTTGAATAAAGTTTATTGTTCTGGCATCAATAGATATTTGTCCCTGTTTTAAGCCAAAAAAAAAAGTATATATATATATTTATTTTTTTTAGAAGACAAGACTTTTAAGATATCTTAAGCCATTTTGCTTCTCAAGTAAATGTTTAGATATTTGTACAGAAAAATAAGACAAAAATACTGGAGAACAAGATCAACATATTAAGTACTGTAAGATAATTCATGAAATAAAATCTTGTCATGGATAAAACATGGAATTTTATATAGTCAAAATTTTGTAGTTTTGTAGTTGTGCTTTGCTCTAAAATATTTAATCAGCTAGAATTTGTTAGTGAATGTATAGTCTATAAATATATATATATATATATATATATTTTTTTATCCTTAGCTAGTAATCAAGAACAGGTGGAGAAATCATGAAAATTCATTGGTCATGAGGTGTGGGAATTTGGATCAATGAAATCAGACAGTCAAGATGCCTGATCAACTCGTGTTGTTTCCCTCATTTTCGTTTTTAGACATTGATGAATGTGCAACTGGGAAAAACCAGTGTCCGTTCAACCGTCAGTGCACCAACACGTTTGGAAGCTACTACTGCAAGTGCCAGACGGGTCACGATCTCAAATACGTCAGTGGAAAGTACGACTGTGTTGGTAAGAAAGAAACAGTGTGACTTGCTTTTGTGATTGACTGAATGCTGTAACAGAGCGAGGCAGTCACATTCTGGGAGCCAAAATTTGTTGAAGTTGTAAATGAAACAACGATTATTGGAGTACATTTTACAAGAAAATACCATTTTCGTCTTTCTACTTCAAAATGTCACAATTCAGTGTGCTGCTTGCCATTTCTTTGTAATTATTTGTGAAGTTTACTAGGAATTTCTGAATTTCTGAGTGAAAAAGTAAATGCTATCATACATTTCTCCAAATCTGATGAAGAAACAAACTCATCCTAATCTCGGATGGCCTGAGGGGGAGAGGATATTCAGCAAATTTAATTTTTTGGGTCAACTATTCCTTTAAACTTAACTGAGATCTCAATAAATCTCCTGAACTATAGCATTTATTAATATTTTAAATGAGCTTTTATTCTTAAAGTGTAATTTTAGTACTTAAACTTTAGTTAGTTGCAAAGGCAAGATTAATATTTTTTCTTCTAATATGAAATGTATTTATTTTTTTATGATTTTATTTTTAAGTTTTATTTCAGTTAATAGTTTTTTTTTCTAACAATAACAACACTAATATTTTAGTACTTCAACCTAAACTTTAGTTCGCTGCAAAGACAGGTTTTATGTTAAGTCTAAAGTTTTTTGATCTAATTTTTTTTTTTTTTTTCAGATTTATATCTGTTATTCTTTTGAATGGTTTTAGCTTTTGCTAACAATAGCAACACTGATGTTTTAGGTCATTTTAGTACTTCAACTTATTTTAGTTATTTTGCAAAGGTTTGCAAAAGTTATGAAATTGACATCTAATATGAAATTGTATCTTTTTTATTTCAATGAACGATTTTAATAGTTTCATTTTAGCAAACAATAACACCACTTATGTTTAGAGCTTTTTCATTTTTTGCTCCAGTATTTTTTATTTTTTTTTACAAAGCCAAGAAAACAAAGCGGATGAGCGGGGTCTGTTTTCAGGGCATGCTGAGACTGAACCACATTCATCTGCTCTGGCGGCTCGAATACGGCCTGTATATGAATATCTACTGTACTACATGTACAGACAGGGAGACTACGAGTACATTTCCCTCTTAATATGTCCCTGTGAGAGGAAGCAGCACTGCATGCGGCTGCAGGAGGAAATAACTGGCGCTGGTGGAATAAGTGCTCATTAAACTCGTCTGATGTGAGCAGATGTGTGAAGTGCGTCTGAACACATCAACATGATCAATCTACATTTCCGTTTTTTTGAATGAGAGTTGTTTTTAGTATGATTGAGATACTATTGATATTTTGGTAACACTTTACAATAAGGTTCATTAGTTAACATTGGTTATCTACTTTAGTTACATTAACTAACATCGACTAATGGAACTTTATTGTAAAGTGTTTCCAAATAGTTTTAATTTTATTTTTATATTTTCCATTTGGTTAACATTTTGGTATTTTTTTAATGTCTATTTAGTTTAATTATTTTTATTTCAGTTTTAGTTTGAGTTATTTTAGTATATCAAGTTAAACTAAATGAAAACGAGAAATGGCAACTAGCTACAATTAAGTATGAGGTTTCCTTTATATATTTATTTATTTGATTTAATTCAACTATAGTAATATTTAACTTTCCATTTTTAATTTTTGTTTAAAAAATGACTAATTTTGCATTTAATTTTTATTTTCCGTTTTAGTTTATTTTAGTACTTCAACCAAACAAAAATGAGAAACTAACTGAAATAAAATAAGTTTTATTTAGTTTGTTTGTTTCCAGATTTTTTTTCTGGTAACATTTATGATTTTTTAAATTTTTATTAATTTTTTTTATTACTTAACAATAATAACCCTGTTTTGAATACAAAAAAATATAGGGCTTCTGCTTTTAAATTTTAAATAAATTAAATTAAATTAAATAACTTTCCTGCAGAGTTTGTATTTATTTATTTATTTATTTTATTTTATTTATTTTTATTTTTTATTTTATTTTATTAAGTTCATATGTAATGTGCAGTTGTCTTTGTGTTTTATGCGCACCGTCTGTGAAAATGACAAATAAATGATCTATTCTATTCTATTCAACTCAAACTCATTGCTCTAAACTGTATAAAACCCATTATATATACAGTGGGTACGGAAAGTATTCAGACCCCCTTAAATTTTTCACTCTTTGTTATATTGCAGCCATTTGCTTTATTTTATTTTATATTTATTTATTTTATTTTATTTTATTTTATTTTATTTTATTTTATTTTATTTTATTTTATTTATTTTTATTTTTATTTTTATTTTTATTTTTTTGTCTTGAGCCGAATGGGTTAGTCTGAGATTCACAAGTCAGAATTAGTTTGTGAACCCAATCTCCTGCGTTCCCATCATATGAATGGAAGTGAATGAAACTCAAGTCTAGTGTGACCGTCCCAAAACACTCGATTTGGTGGCAGAGACAAACTGTTGACTAATGAGAAAACAGCAGTGTCTACTATAGATCTCACACAAGCTGAGTGAAGAGCCGAGGCGCAGAGCCATCAATCACATCAGAGCCATCAGAACCTCTGCGACCCGCAGTGTTATTCTCTTACACTCTGAGAAAAAAACATGTAAATGTTAGATTCAAAACTTTAAACTAATAAGAAAAATTAGACATATTGCCATTTAATAAAATTACTAAAACTGAAATAAAAATAAATTAAAGCTACACTGCATATAAATGTTTAACAGTATAAAAGTTTAATAAAAACTTTATAATACATATTATATATACATAACAAAACGACTAAAACGTAGACTAAAATTAACATTACATGTTAACATCTTGTTTCAAGAGTTTTTCGATTTTTCATGGGAAAATAAGACATTAATAATCATTAAGAATAGGATTTTTGCTGTGCAGTGTTGTTACTGGGAAAGAGCTGGAGCCTTTTATTATCGGCGTCAGAACAGCTGTTTGACAGTCTTTCATCATCAGCTCTCTCTCTCTTTCCATTAGTCTGACTGCGTGTCTGCTCAAATAAACACCACAGAAGAGTCTGAAAGCACAGACAAGTGTCCACTTGCAGGATTCTTCTCGTTTTCTACAGATATTCGCTTTCTAGTAGGGGCTTTCCCTGATTTATCAAGAGAAGCTGATGTATGTATGTATGTACATAGCTAGTCAGAACTGTAAAAAAATAAATAAATAAATAAAAATCCATATAAAAACTGACCTCTTATTTAAATACAATTAAATATTGGTAGTGAATGAATGAATAAATAAATAAATAAATAAAAGTAATTACATTAATATTAGTTTCCTATATTTTTTCAAAATTAAATACTAAAATAGGAAAGTGACTGAAAAAACAGTATTCTAAGAAATCATAAATTAATAAAATAATCTTATTGTCTTTGCATGTATGTAATATTACGATATATTTTTGTGTGTGTGTACATAATTGTTTTTTAATGTTTTTAGTTTTAGTTAATGATAAGCATGCTTTAAATGCGAAAAATGTAGGACTACTGTTTTCAATCAATTTAAAATAACAAATAATGTGTGTGTGTGTGTGTGTGTGTGTGACTTTTCTTTACCTCAAACACTATGTTTAGGATTTGTTCTAAACTTATAGCCCTAATTAGTAAACGTTTGCCATTAATTCATCTTTAAACCACTTAAAGTCAGCATGAAATCATAATTAAGCTCTTTAAATTTAGCTATTGTGCATTATTCATTCAAGAGAGTCATGAAAACATTATTCTAAATAAAGTTAGACTACTCTGCCAGCACTGATATTTCCTTCAGTAAAAGCACATCTATTTCAGGTCAGTTTTCTGTTGTGAGCGCTGCTGGAACAGCATTTGGATCAGGCATGCTTTTATTCTGTCTGTTCAGGTTTGGCAGAGACTGAAGGCAAATGTTGGAACTGCTCTTTATGATCTGTGTGTTTTTCCGTTTGTAGTTCCAGATGATTTTGTGCCTGTTTACGGTCCAGAATCAGAGCCGAAGGAGATCCAGGCAGCGCCGCTGAAGGAAAGTAAGCAAACTCTTCAGATTATAGCTAAACGCTTTTGTCTTTCCAGCATTCAGATGATCTGATGAAGTGCTGTCTGTGTTTATTTGAGCAGGATTCCTGACGGACTGTGACTTTGATCGTGGTGCGTGTGAATGGGTGCAGGATAATGAAGACGATCTGGACTGGACCATCAAATATCATGAAAACGGTACAGACTCACTAATAAATGTGTCCACTGGGGAAATGAACAGAAGTCACAGTTCCCCCTCGAGTCAGGGTTTGAATATCAAAAACGTTTTCCATATTTCTCAAAACACATATTAATTGACCTCAAATAAAATAAAATGTGAAATAAAATAAAAACTAATAAAGTAACTACAATAATATTTTGTATATGTAATCACTTTAATCAATATAATAAAAAAATCAATAAATTATTCCTATATATATAGTAATTGTTTAATTAGTGTATATATATATAAACATAATAGTAATTTAACAATTAAAGTAATGTTTGTATATACATATACAGTACATACAAAGATATTAATATTTATTTAACATTTTTAACATTTATTTAATTTATAAATAAGCTGTTATTTTAGTTACTTTAAGATTAAAATGTTGCTACATATTAAATACTAAAAGTACTCTAATTTAAATAATTTTCACATATATGTTTAATAGTACTTATAGTAAGTATATTACTTTATATATTACATAGTACTATAATAATATAACTGTAATAGTATAATAATATTAAACAATTAATATATTTGATATTAATAATTATTTACAGTTATGTTGTTCATTTTGTGTCATTTGTCACTAATATTGGATTTTTAATAAACATATACACATATTTTTTGTAGACACGTAAGTATTGCATAACATTTCCTTGTGGTTTGTTGTTGGTTATATTAACTTTATTTTTTCTTAACAATATTTATATTGTGTTACGGTCTAAAAGCATGCTCAAAAAATGGCAATAAATTCATAAATCTTGATTGTGGCTCTTTCTCTGGTTCTTCAGGACGGGAATATTACTTGGCCCTCGACGGTCCTGTGGGGAACAGGAGGGAGCAGGCGAGGATGAAGCTGCTGCTGGATGATTACATGCGTCAGAGCAGCTTCTGTCTGAAATTTGATTATCGCATTCAGGGGCAGAACATGGGCGTCTTACGCGTGATGCTGGACAACAGCGCCGTCGCCGTCTGGGAGAAACGAAACCCTCACAAGCACAGCTGGCAGTCAGAGAAGATCACCATTAACTGGACAGAAAACACCCCAGACGCCGTGAGTTACAGTTATCCAGCCTGACCTCTGAGATTTACAAACTGTGAAGCGAATACATTGTTTTCTAAAAGTTCTTTGATGATATGATATGATATATAACACTTTATTGTCAGACGAGTCTGAAATTGATCTTGCATGACAGTATCTGTGTTTACAACAATCAACATCCTTTAAACAACAACATGCACGTCATCCACAAACAAACAAAACACAATAGCCATTACACTCCCTTAAACATTACATTATGCCTTACCCTCCTACTACACTTCTACAACTACACCATGTTCATTTTTGATTAAGTGTCTTATTCAGCTCCAGGATCGCCTGATGCACAAAAGAGTGTTTCAGCCTAACTTTGTTTAATCTTGGGACTCTGTACCTCCGGCTTGATGGTAATAATTCAAACTCATTATGCAGAACATGATTAGGATCAGAAACTATCTTGTTAGCCAGTCCTAGCAAATTATTATAGTAAGCTAAATCATAGAGCTTCTCAAGGGGCTGACCTACAATCCTTGAGCAAATTTTTAATTGATTGAACAGCTTTGTTTTTAGCATAACAGACAGACTCCTATACCAAATGGAGTTGCAGTATTGCAGTACACTCATTATCACAGACATAAAGAACAGCAGAAGAATCTGCTTTCTTACTCTGAATGACCTAAGATGACGAAGAAAGTAGATTCTCTGCTTTGTTCTTTTACAGAGAGCATCAGTATGATCTTTCCATGATAACATTTCGTCAATCATCACTCCTAAATACTTGTATGTTTTAACCTACAAGTATTTAGGAGTGATGATTGACGATATGCTACAGTTATCCAGCCTGACCTCTGAGATTTACAAACTGTGAAGCAAATACATTGTTTTCTAAAAGTTGTTTAAACTGCAGTGTGTAATATTTGAGCCCCTGTGCTGTGATCTTCCTCAGTGTTGTTGTCTTGTTTTCTAGTACAAATAAATAAACATTTTTAAATCAAGAAAAATACATTTATTTGAGATGCAAGATACATTTACTTACTTCTTGTTTTCTGAATAATCTGTCAAAATTAAGTCAGTTTATGCTTAAAACAAGAATGTTTTCTGTTTGAATTTTTTTAACCACATTGGCAGATATTTTTTCTTGTTTAAAGCATAAAATATTTTTTTGTCAGGAAACAAGATTTAATATCTTAAGCCATTTTTGCATCTCAATTTTCTTGTACTAGAAAACAAAAATATTGAGTTTATTTTTTTTGCACTAGCAGCACCAAACATAAATTGATAAATATAAACTGTATAAAGTAATAGTAAACGAATTATATATTTGTGTGTGTACAGAAAATTATTTTATTTATTTGTATTATTTTATTTATTTATAAATTATTTTATTTATTTTTAATTATACTGTTATTATGAAGTAATAATTAATAATATAGTTGTACGTAATATTAATAATATTTAAGATTCATTTTTTTTATTCTATTGCGATTTTAATCACTTTAATATTTAAATGTTTTTAATAAGTATCTGTCTGTATATATTTACATAGGTATTATTTAAATATTATAACTACACTTAAAAAAAAAAAACATTATCCATTAATTTCATGGACATTTCCATTAACCCTAAAACACAATGCAGTGCAAAATTCAAAATGCAGGTAAAAAAAATCGATACAGAAAATTCCTTCATTTCAATACGGTACATTGTGCTGTATTTTTACATACTAGAGTGTAGAAATACAGACTTTTTCGAACAGGTTACAAACAATACAAGAACAAAAAAATCACATTGAATTCACTGAATGGTGAAAAGAGTCTAATTGTTTTGTCACTTTAATGTTCTCCAGCTTATTATCTTTATTAATGTAAACGGTGTGCCTGTTTCTTCAGATCATCTTTGAGGCCGAGCGTGGGAAGTCAGTAAGCGGAGAGATCGGTCTGGATCACGTGGCTCTGATCTCTGGACCCTGTTTGGATGATAAAACCGTCATCTTTTAGCGGCGCCACAAAGGTCATCATTTAATTTGTGACTTTTTTAACCATCACAACAACAACAACAACAACAAAAGACAGATTTAGCTGTTGCTCAGCTTTCAGAATAAGCAGGTACAAACCTGCATGAAAATAAGGAGAATTTCATTTATTGAGTGTCATTGGTTTTATGTTTTCTGATTGTAGGTAGATATCAGTCACTATTTGTATGATTATATAAACACTGCAACATTATAATGGCTGTACATTTTGCTTTACATTAAAATATTTTAAGAGATTTTTACACTTCTGTCATAGAATTTTTTATTAATACTTCATTTCAAATCAAACCATCTCTGCCAAGACTCATTGTCAAGATGACAGCATCTCGATAATTTTCTCTTTAAAGATAAAGATATTTAGCAATGACGTATAAACCTTAAGATCTTCTGTAGATCAGCTCTGAGCTTGATAAATAAATGTCTTCCCATAATACTGGTTAGACGCTATATTGAATTTAAAAGCTGCGAGGGATAGATTCACATATTGATGGGAGAATAAACCTTTCCGAAGCTTTGAATCAACTGCTTTCGAAGCGAAGCGCTCAAGTCTACACGCTGGTGATGCCTGCTGGTCAAAACTGAGTAAATGCAATGCAAACTCTGGCCAAAACATGCATAAAACAACTTTTACAGACACATTGCAAATGTTTTATTTAAAGTATAATAAATGCACTTAACAAATCCTCAAATACTATTAAATATGATGAAGTGTCTGTATAACGCGTTCTTTTATATTCTTTTGCAGGGCTTGTTATGTTTGCTTGTCTAAGAGACTTTTAACTATTACCCTTCCTTATAATTACACAAATGTCTCATTAAAAATGTCAGCAAATGTATCAAACTGAACTGAGATCGGGTAAAAAGCATAGACACTGGTTCAACGGTTCGCCAAACTGTGAGTCATGAGATCATTGTCCCTCATCAGTGAACCACTGAAATTTCGAAAGAGTTGTGGAGTAAGGAAGGGTTGTTTACTGAAATCACGTGACTTTGGACCAATGGTCCGAAATAATGATTTGCAAAGGTTTCCAAGTTTCACGAAGCAGTGCTTCGAAAGTGCTTCATCAGTTTACAATGGCACGCACTGTATAAAGGTCCCAGATCACATCATTTTCACTACTCACAACTTTCAAAACTGCTGTATGGAGTTTTTGTCTACGGTTTTTGTCTTTCGTCAGCTGAACAAGCTGTTTTGTACAGCTAGAAGCGGATGACACCGGAAGTTAGACGCATTAAATTGACTAATGGCACCCGCTCTTACGGGGAAAAATAAGCCTAATTTTCATTCCAGTCAAAAATTTAATATGCTGCTACCCTGACATAGTTGCATACTGTCGCTTGTAATATTGTACTTTTTCTAGAGTTTCTTTGTACATGTGTTTTTAAATAATATGAATGGAAAAATCAGAAGGAAGAAGTATATGCACTCATAATATTCAAAGGACAGACAATGGTCGCCACCTACTGGTGTTATAATGTAACTTACCCAGATGGCACACGTACGTCTGCAAGATGTCTGTTAAAGATCGCTTCATCTGGAAAGCCTCTGCAGTGTACAAACATCTGATAGACGCCTTTAAGATGTCAGTTTTACATTCATTCTAAATCATAAACATCTTAAAGACATCTTCTAAACGTCTATTTGACATCTGATAGGAAATAGTCCTATAGACGTATTGCAGATGAACAAATAATCTAAAAAATACATCTTGCAGATGTAAATGCAGATGTCAAATAGACATCTCTGTGATGTACGTCAGGGTACATGAACATCCGAATCAGCGATTCACAAGCAGATGTAGCAGTGGGAATCACACGACACGGAGCTTCGTCATTAATGCAATGCTTCATTTAAGCTTCTCAGATTCTTCTCATTTTATTGTTTAACATGAAAATATACTGTGTTTAGAGACAGTAAACTGCATGTGTGATAATGTCTAATTATCACATGCCTAATGCCTAATGTTTGGAGAGCGAATGAGTCTCTGAAGAGATTTGATTTGAGTCTTTCCTTTCATCTGGAGATGGGCTGCTGTTTCTACAGCACTGGAAACACAGTCTGTTCATGCAGGTAACATACACACAAACCAGTTCTTAAAGTAATATTTCACCTAAAACGTAAACATCTGTCATCACTTACTTTGTGACTTTCGAAGAGGCGATTATTTTCAAAGAGTTGATCAAACAATTTGCAACCAGTCTGAATTGGTGAATAGTTCAAACCAAAAAGATTATTCAACATTAAAAGTACATTAAGTAGGCTACTACGAACATTACCATAAGGGGGAGGCATATTTATTTATTGAAAATGACTAATTTATATATTAAAAATATGCTGCTAGCACAGAGGATAAAATTAACACCCATTTCTATAAGTACATTTACTTGAGTACAGTTTTTGGTTGCTCTACCCACCTCTGCTAAAGAAAGTCTGTGACAAATAAAGAGCAATAAATATCATCAGTATGTTTTTTCATAGTTATCTTGTGTTTGATTTACATTTACATTTAGTCATTTATCCAAGCGACTTACAAATTAGGACAATGGAAGCAATCAATATCAACAAGAAAACAAATGATATGCAAGTGCTATAACAAGTCTCAGTTAGCTTAACGCAGTACACGTAGCATGTTTATTTTTTTATTCTATAATAAATAAAAAGAAAACAGACAGAATAAAAAAAGAATAGAGCAAGCTAGTGTTAGAGGTCTTTTTTGCTTTTGTTAATTGTATAAATAAAAATAAAACAAATAGATAGATAGAATACAAAAAGATTAGAAAAGCTAGTGTAGTGTTTTTCTTTTAAAGAAAACAAGCAGTTAGTAAATTAATAGAGTACAAGTCTAAAAGGGTCAAGTATGTTTTTAAAGAATAGAAATAGACTAGAGAGTGCTGGAGTTAGAGGGTCAAATAAAGATGGAAGATATGTGTCTTTAGCCGATTCTTGAAGATAGCTAAGGACTCTCGGATGAGCTGCTCGGATTGAGTTGGGCAGGTCATTCCACCAGGAGGGAACATTTAATTTAAAAGTCTGTGAAACTGATTTTGTGCCTCTTTGGGATGGAACGCAAGCTTCTAGAGGGCACATAAGTCTGAAGTAATGTTTTTTAGGTAAATGGGTGCAGAGCCAGTGGTGGTTTTGTACATTAATGCCTTGAATTTTATGCGAGCAGCTATTGGTAGCCAGTGCAAATTGATAAACAGAGGTGTAACATGCATTCTTTTCGGCTCGTTAAAAATTTATCCTGCTGCGCGTTCTGGATTAATTGTAAAGGTTTGATAGAACTGGCTGGAAGACCTGCCAAGAAAGCATTGCAATAGTCCAGCCTGAACAGAACAAGAGCTTGAACAAGGAGTTGTGAAGCATGTTCTGAAAGAAAGGGCCGGATCTTCTTGATGTTGAATAAAGCAAATCTGCAGGAAAGGGCAGTTTTAGCAATGTGGTCTGAGAAAGTCAGCTGATCATGAATCATAATTCCAAGATTTCTGGCTGTTTTTGAAGCAGTTATGATTGATGTGCCTAACTGGATGGTGTGCCTAAATTGTGATGAAACAATGGGTTTGATGAAACCACAAGCAGTTTTGTCTTGGCAAGGTTGAGTTGAAGGTGATGGTCCTTCATCCAGCAAGAAATGTCTGTTAGACAAGTTGAGATGCGAGCAGCTATCGTCGGATCATCAGGATGGAATGAGAGGTAGAGTTGAGTGTCATCAGCATCGCAGTGATATGAAAAGCCATGTTTCTGAATGACAGAACCTAGTGATGCCATGTAGACAGAGAAGAGAAGTGGTCCAAGAACTGAGCCCTGAGGCACCCCAGTAGTTAGATGTTGCGACTTGGACACCTCACCTTTCTAAGATACCTTGAAGGACCTATCTGAGAGGTAAGACTCAAACCACTGGAGTGCGGTTCCTGAGATGCTCTTTGCCAGTAGGGTTGACAGGAGGATCTGGTGGTTAACCGTGTCAAAAGCAGCGGACAGATCCAACAAGATAAGTATTGAAAATGTGGAATCCGCTTTTAAGGTTTTCTAGCATTATACTTGGGAAAGTTTCAATGCAAGTTCATTTTGAATGCATTTTATTGAAATGTAACCTGAAGAAATCCTGATGTTGTCAGACCTGTTTAAACACCCCAAGCTGATCAGAAACTCCACCCTCTTACAACACTTACCAGGGAGAGACTGATTTGCTATTTCTCCTTTCTGTCACTGATTTTCTTCTCTTTGACAAAAGCTAACAAGAATAATCCATCAGTGGACAATGAAGAGAAAGACTTTGAATAAGTTTGTTTCTGAACAGACAGCAGATCTTTGTGATTCTCGAGGTTATTCATGTTTGAAACCGTCGTTCAGAAAGTGAAAGTAAAGTTTAGGTTGCTGGAGCTCAAACAGTGAAAATGGCTTCATCAGATGAATATGACTATAATTGTCCCGTGTGCTGTGAAATCTTCAAGACTCCTGTTCTTTTATCATGTAGTCACAGTGTCTGTAAAGAGTGTCTTCAACAGTTCTGGAGAACCAAGAAAACTCAGGAGTGTCCCGTCTGCAGGAGAAGATCCTCAAAAAAGTTTCCTCCAACAAATCTGGCATTACAAAACCTGTGTGATTCATTCCTGAAGGAGAGAAATGAGAGCCATTCATCGTGGCTACATTTGTGGAACCAGAAGCCGAAAAAGCTAAGTGTAATATTTGTGATACGCTAAGAGAGGTGTCACCACCAACATGACAAAGCAAACCTTTAAAGCATACTTCGGGTCTTTAGCAACCCGGGACGTCATTCACTACCCTCTCCCTCCTTCATTTCTTAAAATTAGACATCAACTTTCTTAGTATTCCTCAATCTATTCATTATAAACAATATAACAAGAAAAAATAATAAAATATTAAAGAATGTCTGTTTTCTGACTATTTTTGTAGAAAGTGTATAGGGTCGCACCTAAACTTTTCTGAAGACAGTCAGTTCCCCTCAGCGATACATTTGTATAAACCCACACCCCCAATTCAATATATAGGATTCGCATTGTGAACAGTGAGTTTGCTCTGCCTGTACAGTGTGCGTCCATCTTCAGCGTCTCTAGCCTCTCCCTGCTGAAAAAACTAAAACAAAAAAAACAATAGAAAGCATCACAGAAATTCTAATGCTTTCCACTAAAAATACCATTACAAACCATCAACTATTAACCATTAAAACCCTAAAAAAATTGTAACTTGTAGTGTGTTTTGGGACATTTTCCATTAGGATTTAGTGGTTTTAACAAGCCCCCAATAAAAGGTGACAAATTACAGGTAGAGACCCACAGGGACCATTACAGTTTCCATTAAAACCAATACAATTCCAATTATAACCAGTAAAACCTCTAATGGTTTCTATTGGTTTTTAACGTCCCATTTATAGGCTTCATAATCTTTCCACACAAATGACATTTTGGAAAATGACTGCAATGCAGTTTGTGCAAGTCCAGAACAGAGATCGCCTGAAATAAAACAAAAAACAGGCCTTTTGCCAATCTCTCAATCTCATGCATCTTTAAATTTCATAAATTGTTGTGTTCTGGGCTTTTTGCCCAGTTAAATAATTAGTTGTGTGTTATTAATAGTTCTAAAAGTTATCTAACCATTAGTCAGAAGTGTATCCATTTAACAGGGATCTCAGACCCTTCTCAGACTGATATATTTTAATCACCTTCTTCCTCATTGATTCTGGATTTTTTTTTAAACTTTGGTATAGTGTGTTACTGGGTGGTAAGACCTTTTAACCAAATTCATGCTGGTAAAATTGCTTTTTAGGTTTGGTTATGGTTGAAATAATTTATTATGAGATATACACACACACAAACAAAGGAAAAATAAATCAGGATAGGGCAAATACTTTTTCACAGCAAAGTTTGATGATCACTGTATTCTCTTCACTTCACTGTAATCTGGTGTTTTTATCTTGTTCAATTCTAGGAAGAGCTCAATACAGCACTGAAGTCCTTACAGGAGAAACTTCAACACAATGAAAGCATTAAAGAAGAGTTTGAAAAAATAGTTCAACACATCAAGGTGAGGAAACAGAATTAAGAGTCATTTTAAGGACAGGTCTAGCATCACTAAACACAATTATGTTATATTTAACATAAAGGATTCCAGTTGATTATTTTTGTAAATGACGAGCAGCAGTCTGCTTCTGGATCTGTTATATGTCGGGTGTCTGAGGTTCTCTGGGATCTGAATGATGTGATGTGTTGATGTGTGTTGATTGAGATGATTGAAGTGAATGTGATTTGATTTCAGTCTCAAGCTGAGCACACAGAGCGTCGGATTAAACAGCAGTTTGAGAAGCTTCATCAGTTTCTCAGAGATGAAGAAGAAGCTACAATCACTGCACTGAGAGAGGAAGAGGAGCAGAAGAAGCAGATGATGAAGGAGAAGCTGGAGGAGATGAACAGACACATCTCAGCTCTTTCACACACAATCAGAGACACGGAGGAGATGATGAGAGCCAGTGACGTCTGCTTTCTGAAGGTCTGATTTCAGATCATCCATCGATTGATTGATTGATGATTGATTGAGTTCTTGATGATCAATGGTGTGTTTGTTCTGCAGGAGTTTCCAGTCACGATGGAAAGGTGAGTGATCTGCTGCTGTCTCTGCTCTCTCTGCTTCTGATCCAAAGCCACTGCAGTTCTGATCCTGAATGTTCTTCCAGAGTCCAGATCTCACAGCCGGATCCACAGATGAGTTCTGGAGCTTTGGTTCATGCGTCACATTACTTGAGTAACCTGCGGTTCAGAGTCTGGAGGAAGATGCAGGAAACTCTCCAACACAGTGAGTCTC